TCAAATAACTATATCAAGTAGAGATAATTTTTATACATCGATAAACTGTAGTGCAATCTTGTCCAAATACATATATCCATAGTAATAAAATATATAACATATGCATTTATTAATCCCTTGTTTTGCTTGTTTAGGTTTTGTTTGTTTGTTTTTCAGGAAACCTCACAAACTTTTAGTATGACCACATAATAAAGAAATGGCTTACTGTTTATTCTAGTAGCCAGGTATTGTGGGTTATTTATTTATTTATTGGTACTGAGAATCAAACTCAGGACCTCATGCTTGCCAGGCAGGCGCTGCACCAATGAGCTACATCCCTCGCCCCAGGTATTGTTTTTAAAAACCATATAAGGAAGATGTTATGGTGGAAAATAAAGAATAACTTACAATTTTGAGAATCTCTTGAAAATTCTAATTTTTGTTTGAGAATCCTGAAGGTTAATATCTATCAGGAGTTGGCAAACGCTGATATAATTCGTAGTAAGGAGCAGGTCCTCTGCAGACAGAATGAGTGGATGTTCCTGGGCTTAATAGTTGGAGTAATCGGGTGACATAGATGCAAATGTGCCCATTTTACACATCCGAAACATCTGGGCTTCCCATGACACTGATGTGACACATCGCCTGTAAGTAAAACTCCCATTGTTTGCTAAGACGGCCTAGGAGTAACACCTTTGAGAGTCCCAGAAACGCTACCAGGCTTGTCCTTAAATTTTTCTGACGAAGCATCTTGCAGCCACTCTCTGGATTTGACTGGGAAGCCATTTCTTACAGTAGCCTCTTTTAATGCGGCTCTGGGGATGTCCAACAGTTTTATTTTTTAATCTAGCAAATCCTGGCTTCTTTGTAAATCTTTCCCATTCTGCTAAAAAAAAAAAACTTGAACAGTTTCTTGGTTAGAACAGCTCGCTGGTATAACATTTCATCATATGTAACTAAGAAAAGGCCAGTTGGCACTTGCCACGTTTTGCGGGGCATCTCCCCAGCCGCTCCTGACGTCTTGCTTCTGTTTTCCACACTACTGCAGACCGTACTTTCTGCCATTACCAAAAAAAAAAAAAAAAAAAAAAAAAAACTATTATCCTCCAAAGTTATTCCGAGCACTCTCACACCTCCCCAACAGTGTCCTCATCTCTTGTTCTGCTTCTCCCGGATGGCCACCCAGAGCCAAGGTCCTTGGGGGTTTGATAGGGCAGCACCCTACTTCCAAGCACCCAAGTCTGTTCAGGTTATGTACTGCTGCACAAGTGTGGTAGCCTGAAACTAGTCTCACCACATTCCCATGGGATATCAAGGGACGGCTCATGTCTGCCCTAGAAGGTCTTGGGGAGCCCCTGCAGTGAGGTGAGTGACTTGGGTGGCAGGACACAGAATGGCTGCCCCGGCATCCCTCTCTCTTTTCTCCTTCTACCTCATTCCTCTTTTGTAGCAGCTTTAGCTTCCTGACTTGCTGGCAGCCTCTGGATAGAAACATTCTTACATGGACCATCACTGTTCCAGCCATGGTTCCAGGTGACAGCAAACAAAACTGCCAGTCTTCAAGGCCGTGCCTACAAACAGGCCAAGAGTCAAGTCTACAGTGTTCTGCTGGTCCAGAGAAATCCGATGCAGGGAAGGCTGGTTCTGCTGCTAGATGACACAGAGTTTAGTGGATGTGGACGGGGTGACTGTGGCCTCTGCGCTCCTCCCAGCTGAGTCACGGTGCCACAGAGGCCTCCCTCGACCTTGTCTGTTAGGTGACACTATACTCTTTCCAAAACGGTGATAGCTTTCTGGTTGTCACTAACTTGGGTACCGCACTGTTCTTTGTTAATTTTCTTTAGTCCAGGTAAACTCTCCTAACGTAGTGTTCTGTTTGCTAGTGGAGGCTGATACAGATGGTTTCTTTCATTTTTATTTTTTTGGTCCCAGGATCTTGTGTTTGCCAGGCAGGCCCTTGTGCCACTATACTATATTCTGGCTGCAGATGGTTTCTTTATTGACTTACAAACTTAATCCTTCCCTACCTTTTAATACAAGTATTTTCTGTTAATATAGTTTCCTGTTTTTCTATAGGTTTTTGGGTCCATTTCCCCCATACTTTCAGGAATCCTTTATATATCAAGACTATTAGCTCTTTACTGTCATGACTCTTACAGATATTTTCTTCCAGTTTGTTTATTTTTAAAATTTTGTTCAGAGTGAAGTTTTTGACCATGCCAAATAAAACATTTTTTTAAAAAATTTACGTAGTCAAGTTTATAAGTGATAAATAGAAGAAAATATCTACTGTTGCCTTTAGAGTTTGAGCCTTTCCTCTATACCATGATTAAAGAAGAATTTACCTATTTTTTTCTTTAGTATTTGTATGATTTTATATTTGACATTTAGGTCTGTAATTATTTTGAACTTATTCTTGGGAATAGTATAAGGTATGGATTTTATCTTTTTTTTTCAAATAATTAATTTGTTCCAGCATCATTTTGTTTTGTTTTTTGAGACAGGGTCTTGTTATGCAGTTCAGGCTGGCCTTGAACTCAGCAATCCTCCTACCTCGGCCTCTGAGTTGTGGGATTACAGGCATGTGCCACCACCCCTGGCTCTAGCACCATTTATTAAAATTTATTAAAACACCCACCTTTGTCTCATTGAGAGGAGTTGGCACATGTCCTTGTAAAAATTTCCCTCGGTATTTCTGGGCTTTTTATTCTATCTCATTAGTTTACTTGTCTAGTCATGGGCTAGTACTAGCCTGTTTTAATTATAAAGGCTTTAATTATGAATAATAGCAATTTTTATTGTCATAATAATAACTACTATTGAGCTATTTGTAGCAGAGGAAGGAATGCCGTGCTGGGAGGTGTACCTTCCAGCCTCAAGTTATAATTAAACACAAAATGTGAGCTACTTTGAGCCTCAGTTTCCTTATGTGTACAATAAACAACCGGGACTAGATAAAGCCTTAGACCTGTTCCAGTTTTAAAGTCTTGTCCAAGTCTTATTTTGGAATATGGGCTGAGATGCATTTGCTGAGATGTAAATTTTTACTTTCGAATACTTTACCTGCAGTGCACCTCTTTCAAGCAAAGAAAAATGGATCACATTTTGAAGAAAATTTGAAGGCTTTGAAGATGAGGCCTATTTACAGAAACCAATTTGTTTCTCTACATTATTTTAGCATGCAACTCTTCCCTACTCCTGAAGCAGCGTCCTGAGTATCCAGGCTCGGTGAAGTGGGGGTGGAGGAAGCTTATTACCATGGAGATAGATGGGAGCAAATGGTCACATCATCAAAAGCAAACTAGAAATGTACAAAGCTTTTGTGATGCTGATCCTTTTTCTTTCTTTTTTTTTTATTTAAGTAAGAAGAAGAAAAAAAGGGACAAATAAAAGGACATATCTCTCTCATTAAATCCAACACTAATTTAGTAATCAGTGAAATAAAGGTACCCTTGAAAGCCCGCTGCCAGAAAATACAGTACAACAAAGAAGCACAAAAGGTCGCTGGCTGCCAGGTGTAATTTCCAGGTACTCCAAGTGCATTTGGACTCCCTGTTCTCGTAGCTTTTCTTTACAGATCGGCTGTCTTTGCGGTCGATCTGAACTAGCCATTTAGTCACCCTCGTGTGTTGTCTAAATATTTAGAAGGAGAAAAATTGCAGGAAAATAACCTTTAATTTTGTGACTCTGCAAGGAAGACTTCAAAATTAGGCGACATGAAAAACTAAGACTAAAGGCGTATCTATTTTCCTGTTTATTACCTACCACTTTGGGTAATCTGAAAATAATTTGACAGTGCAACAAAAGTCAAAGGGTAAGAGTAAATTTGTATGCGGTAGCTTATGTCAAAATAAAGTCACCACCGGTTGAACTGCATCTATCATCTATCTATATCTCAATATTCTGTTATGCCCATCCATTGATTTTAGGCTGGTAGCAACTGGCAAAAACCTGCAGTGAAGAAACACATTCTGTTCTCTTCTCTCTCTCTCTCTCTCCCTCCCTCCCTCTCTCTCTCTGTCTCTCTCTCTGTCTCTCTGTCTGTCTCTGTCTGTCTCTCTCTTTTGTTCCAAAATGGAATCGAACCCACAGTCTATGCACTGAGCTATGGTTCCAATCTTTTTTATTTTTTGTTGTCACTAAAGTGCTTAGGCTGAGCTGTGAGTTTTGATCCTCCTGCCTCAGCCTCTGAAGTGCTAGAACTACTGGTGTGTGTCACCACACCCAGCTTCCCATTCAATTCTTCATCATTATCCAAAGGAAAAGAAATTATTAAAGAATGATTATATCTAATTTAAAGAATTTGACCAACCTTCTGCCTTGAACTTTCAATCTATTGATTAAAAATAATCATATTCTGCCGGAATGTTTTAAAACTGGAAGGTGATGTTTTAAAAGTATTTTGTGCTATTTAGAGAGCAAATACAACTTATATCATATTTTAAAAAGTGCATTAGTAGGGAAATAGACTCTTAAGAAGCCTCCCTCTTCCCCTTCCTCCCCACTGTCTTTTTTTACTTCAGATTTTCCCTCTTTGCCTACAGCAAAGACTATTCATAATTATAAAGACATTAATTTCCTTAATTGATCAATGGATTCAGTGTCAAGCCAAATAAAATACCAAGATAAATTTTTTGAAGTTCATGGAAATAATACTAAACTTTATCAGGAAGTAAAAATGATGAATTTGAAAAATTATAAAAAATAAGAGTATTGAAAGGGTAATTAATACAATCATATATTATAAATATATAATAATCAAAATGTTTTATTCCAGAGAAGAATTAGCTAAATAGAATAACAAGAAATAAACTCAAATACATGTATACATTTAAGGTGTAAAGAGGTAGATGAACCAAATTTATGCAGAGGTCAGGGAGAAAACATAGTGTAGGAGTTAACAGATAGGGATAAACTGGTTAGGAGTGAAAAGTTTTTAAAAACGAATCCTTCATCATACTCTTTGTATCCCAAAGTTTTCCAAAAGGTTCAAAGATTGAAATGTTCTCTTTTTTTGGCAGGGTTTTACTGTGCGGTTCACCCAGGCCTGGAACTTACTGCAATCCTGCTGCCCCCGTCTCCCAAGTGCTGGAATTACAGGCGTGCACCACCTCTCCAGCCAAAGATTGAAGTCTGCTGTAGAAAATACCAATAATTCAAAACTTTGGTAATTTATTTATGTATAATCTTGGCATTTGAAAACATTTTCTAAGCAAAACACAATCTCAAAAGTCTTAAAGGAAGAGAAAACATTGGAACATACAAAGCTGTAAAATAATTGCTTTATACTTGGCAAATTAAAAAATCATTAATACATAGCATTTCATATAACTCAAAAAAACAAAAGCACATCACAAGGAAAGTGGTCAGATGTATTAAAATTTTCGTTTCACTCACAATTGAGTGACTGCCTCTAAAACAGCATCTCTATGCAGTGGAAAATCATCTGGCAGTAATAATATTATTTATAATAGTCAACAAGATTAAGCAGCACAGTGCTCATCAGCTGATGACTGGATAAACAAAGTGGACAGTACCGTGTATTCATCATGGGCTGATTTTAGCCATGAAAAGGAAGGAAATTAAGAAGCCGGGATGGGAACATATGCTGTAGGATTCCAATTTCATGGAGTGTTCATTATAGGGAAATCTAGAGAGAGAACAAGTAGATCAATCTTTGCTCAGAGCTGGGGGGTGGGAACTGGGGGAAATGAGGAACTGCACAGAGGAACAGAGATCCCTTTCGGGGTCATGAAAATCTATGGTGGCGATGGTTGCATAAATCTGACACATTAAAATCATTGCCTTGTACACATTTAATGGGTAAGTTGGTGGCAAATTCTGTCTCAAAGAGGCTGGTTTGTTTTTAAAAGCTTATTTAGAAACCAGTGAGGTATGCTGGATTTCCCCACCAAATTAAATCCTAGACATTTTCCCATCACAAAATAGGTAATACCCACAAATGAAAGGAGGGGAGATTCCTGGAAACTCAGGGCTCCAGGCCTTGACTCCTGGACAGAGTCGGCGTGGCAGAGGGGCCTTGTTGGGGAGGCCTCAACCCAAGGTCACCCAGGAAAGGGGGTGAGGGAGCTGGGGCGGAGAATGTGCCCTCCGAGGTCCTGCCCTGCTAAGCTGCCTCCAGCCAGCCCACCTCCTAACAGCTGGACTCACCGTTGAGTGAATTCACCAGTGTGTGTGGTAAGTGACCAGGATACAGTCACCTTCCACATTTATGAGAAGTTGGAGGGCAGTTTAGATCTAAACGGAAAGACCTTGCAAAGCTAATAAGAAATGTTAAAGGTGTAGAGTGCGTTTGTTTTCATATTCATGGTAGAAGTACAAATGTTACACTTTTTAAAAAGATGATTTGATTATGTTTTAAATTTTAAATGCATCTTATCCTTTGATTCTTCAATTTAAAATCATCAGATGGATATACTTGCAATTTACCAAGGCGTATATAATAGTATTTATAATAGGAAAATCCAAAAATACAGAAATAGTCATTAGGGGAGCATTATACACTATAAGTATTATAAATTTAGGATGTAGCTCAATGATAGAGCATATGCTTATCCTATGTTAGGATATGTATTCAATCCCCTGGGTCAAAAAATAAATTTATGGATATTCAGTATGTATAAGTAATAGTTATACAGGCTGATATGAAAAGATCACCAAGAAAAAACGAAAACAACTCATATTTATTGAGAATTTGCTATGGGCAAGTCACACTTCTAAGTACCTTATTGGCAGTAATTCTCTTATTCATCTTTGCAATCTTATATTTTTAATATTACCCTTACTTCCATTTTACAGGTGATGATCTCAAGACACACAAGTCAGTTTAAATGCTACTAGTGGTAAAGACACGATTCAAGTCCATTTGATTACACTTTAAGCCTGAATTTACATAAAAATGGTGGCACAGCTACCTTTTCTTTCTAGAAGCACACAGAAGGAAATGCTGGAGACAGAGAGTGAAAGAGGGATTGTATACTTCCAGTTACTAGAAGGCAAACTGACAAAGAGTACTGAGTGAGGTGGGAATTGGTGATGCAGGAGGGAGTTGGTGTTTAATTTGTGTGTTGTATCCACTGCACTCTACATTACTGCAATGAATCACATGAGGCAATTCACTTATAGAGAGAGAAGGTCATTCTGGCTCATGATATGGGAGATCCCAGTTCAAGGACACGTGAACGCATTGCTTTGAGCCTTCAGAGTGCCAGTGGGCAGTGGTAGAGAGCACATGGCAGGCAAACCACTCAGGTCCTGAGCCAGAAACAGAGAAAAGAAGGAAAAAGAAGAGACTGGGATCTCTCAGCTCCCTGCAAGGGCTTGAGCTCAATGACCAGAAGACCTTCACCTAGTGACCAGGCCTTCAGAGGACATTTGAGAACCAGACTGTGCTATGTTTTACAGTCTAACTTCTCCTTCACTGATTTGAAGCAGATTATTGTCTGAATCCATAACCCAATCAAACACAGGATTTGCCTGACATTCTTGGCCATGAAAAATCAAAGTTGAAGCTGAAGGGTTATTCTGCCTTCATTTGGTCTCTTCCTTACACGAAATAGGCAGATGCAGATCCAATTTGCCCTCCTCAGGGTAGCTAAGAACCAGCCTCTCTCTTTTTCCTCGCATCTACACTATGCCTGCACTGCTCATACCCAGTTTTACATCCAATCTAGCTAGAAGCACCATGGATGGCATTCACTACATACTGACCACTTCCCTGCACTACATACTGACCACTTCCCTGCATAAAAGCTGTTTATTCCAGGAGGAAAGATCAAGATTCGCGGCTTCTCCTACCTAGCTCAGAGCTTTCTTTCCAGTATCATCCCCCTTCACCCCACATTCCTGCTTGCAGAGCGAGATTATTTCCTACCTGAGTCAGCCCACCCCCTTCCTCTTTGCTGTGGTCTGGATGTGGTATGTCCTCACTAGGCTTCAGGGAGGTCACTGGATCAGGAGGGCTTTAACTTGGTTAGTTGATGGAATCTGATCATAATTTGACAGCACCACTGGGAGGGAATGGAAACTGTAGATGGGGGCTCACTGATGGGCACTCTTTATGAGGGTGGCCTTGGAGTCCATATCTGGGCCCCCACCCACTTCCTCTCTGGCTCTTTCCCTCTCTTTCTGCTTCCTGGGGCTGCTGTGGGGGGAGCAGCTCTGCTTTGCCATGCCCCTCCCCTGTGCTCCTGCCTTGCCAGCTGACTGGGGACTGAAACCGTGAGCCCGCTTCAGTCTTTTCTCCTTTAAGATGACATTGGCAGATATGCCAGTCATGTGATAGAGGGCCAATGCATTCTCTGCCCTACTCCATCACACTCTCGCTTCAAGGTATTCTGTCACAGTGACAGGAAAGCCTCTCCTCCCGATGTGTCTGGAGAGAGGGTTCAAACATCACCCTCCAGGGCAGGGAATATATTCAAGAACATGTCTGTAAATAAACAGCATAGACATACCTTAACTTTACTGGAAGGTGAGTGAAGAGAACAAAACATTGCCACCCAGGGAAGATGGATGACTCAAAGGAGAAACAACACAACCTCCAGAGGCTCTAGGATAGAATTTGCCCTGGCAATTTGCTCTGTTGTAGGATATAGAAGAAAATGCCAGAAAACTGGCAGTCTTACTAGGCACCAGATAGAATTTTTTAAAGGAAGGACTGTAGACTATTAAAGAAGGCAATAAAATGAGAAGGCATTCAGATGAAATGAAAATGCACAGTTCTATTTAGAAACAACAGAAATTTTATTTCTGATGGTTCTGACCACTGAGAAATCCAAGACCAAGGTTTCCATGTGACGGTGTGAGGATGGTCCAGGAAGAAAATGCTGAACTCTGGTGTGGAGAGGACTAACGCATGCAGGCCAGAATTATTTCTTTTCTGACTTCTTTTGTATTTTAATATTTTATTTTTAAAAATGTTTATATACCTTATGTTTCTATTTCTATACATTTCTAGAGCAGTCAGATTATGTTTAAATGCCCAGGTATTTATTGGCTGTGTGATGAAAGATGGTAACTGAACAAAAGCACAGAAGGAGACCTAGGGAAGGGGTAGTTATTATTATTATTATTATTTTATTATTTTGTATCAGGGATCAAACTCACAACCTCACACTTGCCAGGCAGGTGCTTAAACCACTGAGCCAAATCCCCAGCCTGGGTTGGTTATTTCTTTTCTTGGTCTGGATAACAATTACAGGAGACTCACAGTCTGTAAAATTTTCAGGACCAAACAGTGACGTGTGCTTTTGAATGCATTCGTACTTCAAAAATAAGTTTCCACTCAAAGTAGAAAAATAATTTTAAATAATCGCAAAAGTGAGGAGGAGATGCCAGAGAATTTTCTTCTGCATGCATCCTGTTTTTCTCTCCAAATTTGACTGGGTTGCATTTTCTTCTGCTAATCTGAGCTGCCCGAGGCTAACCTGTCCAGCAGGTCCTTGGCAGAACTGTGCAGCCTGCAGGCTTACTAGAAACCCTCAGAGATAGCTACAAGCCTATCCCTTCTCTGCACCACCCAAGAGTTCTCTTTAGCAGGCTCTAGACAGGCTTAAGCACCGTAAATTATAGAAATGGTTGGCTTTAGGGAAACCCTAAGGGGTAAAGAAAGAAACCAGCTCTCTGTGGATGTGGCTTGTCCCCTGGTCCTCCACAGATCTGACAAATAATGTCTCTCGATTGCTTTACAGAGACAGATGCCAAAACAGAGTAGAGAGTGAAAAATAGTTATTAGGGATTAATCCTTTTGAAAGGAAGTAAAATAGGGTTGAGGAGAAAACTGAATGGTGTAGAGAAAGAATTTAAACTGCAGAGGAGACCTAAGAAAGCCTCAGTCACTTGGACAGAGGGCTGAAGAAACGTTTACTGTCAACTTAATAAGTTATATTAGTAAAGTCTTTGTAGCTTATTAAAGGGAAAATGAGAGGAGCCACAAGGGTTAACATAAATATGCTGAGGTGCAGGAGCCTCACAGCATCAGACCTGTACTTAAAGATAAGCACTGTCTCATTCATTTCTCCGTACTCAAAATATCTTCAATGAAAATTTCAAATAAGCAGCATGAAAAAAAGCAAATAGAAAGTCTAAACTTTTTCTGGGAGAAGCTTATCATTATATATTGATCCATCCATTTTGATTAGCTAATCAGAAGCAGGTTTGAAATGGGGGATGGGATTTAGAAATATTACTGATTTTAGAAAGAGCCTGAACAACACCATTTAGCTAAGTAACTGGGGATTCTATGACATTTCGATCCATTACCGTTACCAGCAATGTATTGATCAGGACAGGTTGGTACACAGACTATAAAAAGTAGTATATGAGATTTGTGATGAGAGGAAACAGCGTAGATGGCTATGCAGGTGACTTAAGGCATGAACCGGGGAGGAGGCCAGGAAGTGAATCAGGTGAGGAAGACACCAGTGAAGGGAAAGTGGGTGTTAAGAAATGGGAGGCCAGCACTCAGTATTGTGAAACAGGTGTATTACTCTCTGACCCTGTCTGAAACTTTCTTTGGATCTGTCCTATCTCCAAAGACAACTGAGTATACTTCGGAGAGCACATATCATGAGAGCGGCAGAGAATACGTGAGTTGCTCACATCAGTCACTCTTCCTGCTCTTGCTACTCTTCTTTTATCTTCTTAGATTCCAAGGTGGCTGAGAGAGCTAAGTTTGTGGATCTAGTGCCTACCACAGTGCAGCTGAACAGAGACAGGACAAACTTCGACATAGGGTCACTACTCTGGTTCATGATGACATTCCGGATATGTCTATCGTGTGTGCAATACGTCTGAGACATCTGAGAGCTTGCCTAGCACAGCACTGCAAGAACCACGTCACCAGGCCTGATGGGTTTCCCATAGGATTGAGTGTGTCTTTTTCTCCATCCTTTTTTGTGACCGAGTTTCTTATCTCTCAAATGATATAGAAGTAAATTAAGATGTTCCCAAAGCGATCCTTGGAAGAAGGAGAACCCAGCCTCCTTACTAAAAGTGAGGATGCAAAAAAAGAGGAAGACATGATTCTTGACTTGTCCCAGGGAAAGCCCCTGTTGGCAATGCCTCCTATCTACTTCCTGGTGCAGATGTTAATACAGATGGTCTTCTTGGTCATCTTTTTTCATGAACAGTGACCACTGACTACAGAACATACTTGGTGTAGAACTGCTTTGTGTTGAAGACCTTATTCGTGCATCTCAATGCAGACACAGGAAGACTGTGTCCATCGTGTACCTGGCTACTCTCTGTGGTTATCCTAATTTTCTGCATTACTTTCACTTTTTAATACATTCTCAGGATTGTAACTCACTAAGAAATGCAGGACTCTAGAAGATTCCAACAGTAGTCCTGAGGGTCTTCCCCGACACATGGAATGAAAATAAAACCAGTCGAGAGCGACCTCCTTTTGAAGTAACACACACATCTTTGTTTTTTTGTACTGTTCCCTGGTGTTCTTATTGTGGAAAAATGAAACAGGGAAATGTGCCGAGCCTACTTTCTTCTCATATAAATAATCACTGTATTTATTTCAGCTTGGAGGTTTCAGCCCATGTTTAGTTGGCTCTGTAGATTTTGTGGCAAGCTGATGCCTCATGGGAGAACATGGGAGAGGAAGTTCCCAATCTCATGGCATCTAGGAAATGAAAAGAACAGTAGTTTATGTTTTAATATGCTTCCGTTGGTAGTTGCTTTCCTTTGTGTGATAAGAACTATTAAAGTAGTATATTACTATATTCAATCGCTCTGGATAAGTATCATAAGGTCTACAGACTATTAAAACCAGGAGCAAGCCACTCCAAAGGCAAATACTGACATCCTTTTGCATGCACTCATTTTTTAAGTTCTTGAACTTATCTGAAGTTAAAAGCACTAGTAGCCCCCATAGCCACATTAACTACTTATCATTTACTTAGGCTATAAGCCTCACCAGCAAAGTAACTTCTGAAAGGAAGGAAGATAGAAGCCATGTCATGCTTCATGTAATTTTTTAATGTTCAAGCTGTCTAACAGGGTTCTCAGTTTCATCTGGTCTAATGCTTTCTCTTACAGTGTTCGATATAGTTTCCTTTATTTTCCCTCAAAGAAGAACATAATGGGAAGAGATGTAGATTGGAAGATCAGATATTGTCCCAGCATTTCTCAGCAGAGAAAATACCGTGGCCTAAAAGATGCAGGCTGGGAAAAGAATGTTAAAAGAAAAATCTCATGGATCCCATCCATAGAGACTGAAGCTTCTAAGGACTTGCAAACTTTTAAAGAGGGGATAAACTGAAACAAAGTCTCTACCGTGCTATGGCTGGTATCTGAATGTCTCCCTCCCAAGACTCACTCAGGCATTCACTCATAGGTGGGGCTTTCAGGAGGTGGTCGGATCATGGGTGTGTGAATATGCAGTGTGGGTGTATGCTAATTGCATTAGTCCTCCAACCAGTAGGCTTGTAGACAGGATGAAGTATAAGGAAGGAAAGCAAGCTACTGCTTCCTCCTGCCTGCCCTGCCATGGACTGTTTCTCCTCTGCCATGTGCTACCCTGCCTTGGAGCCAGCTGACTGTGGACTGAATCTTCTACAAACTGTAACCTAAAATAAACCTTTTCTCTTTTAATGTGTGGATGTTGGAAATTTTATCTCAGCAATGAGAAAATAAGACAACCATCAAGCTGAATAAATTGCCAACCCATTGGAGACTATTTGTGGAGTTAAAAATAGTCTTTTCAGTGGGCTGGGGATTTAGCTCAGCGGCATAAACGCCTGCTTGGCAAGCATAAGGTCATGACTTCAATCCCTGGTTCCGCAAAAAAAGAAAAAAAAAAAAATAGTCTTTTAAAAAGACACGTGTTGGGGCTGGGGATTTAGCTCAGCAGCATAAGCGCCTGCCTTGCAAGCAAGTAGTTGTGAGTTCGATCCCTGGTACCGATAAAAAGGAAAAAGACAAAAAAAAAAAAAAAAAACACATGTTGGGCCAAGAATATAGCTCAGTGCCACAGTACCTGCCTGGCAAGTGCAAGATCATGAGTTTGATTCCTGATACAAAAAAAAAAAGAAAAAAGACCCTTGCCCATTGTGGTGGCGCAAGCTTGTAATTCCAGCCCTTAGGAGGCAGACACAAGAGGACTGCTGCAAGTTCAAGGCCAAACTGGGCTACATAGTAAGATTCTGTCTCAAAAAAAAAAAAAAAAAGATTACAAATGGCTAATAATTACATGAAAAATGTTCAACATTTAGCCATTCAAGAAATGCAAATTAAAACAAGAGTGGGATTCCATCTTATCCCAAAAAAAGTGACCATCATTAAGAATCAAATAACAGGGCTGGGGATTTAGCTCAGCGGCATAAGCACCTGCCTTGCAAGCAGGCAGTCATGAGTTCAATCCCCGGTACCGATAAAAAAGAAAAAGACAAAAAAAAAAAAATCAAATAACAAACATTGGCAAGGCTACAGGAAAACGAAAACACTTCTGTGTTGTTGTTGGTAATATACACTAGTATAATCGCTATAGAAATCAGGATGGAGATTCTCCAAAAAATGAAAAACAGAAATTCCCTATGTAGGCATCTTCCCAGAAGAGCAAAAAACATCATATTACTCTGATACATGCATACCCATGTTTACAGCAGCATGATCATGATAGCTAAGTCTTGGAAGCACACCATCAACAGATGAATGGATAAAGAAAATGTATGTATATACAGTGGAATAGTACTCTGCTATAAAGAAGGATACATTTGAGTGGGAAAATGGATGCACTTGAGGCTATAATATCAAGTGAAATAAATCAGATATACAAGTTTAAATATCACATGGCTTCTCCTATATAAGAAAAATACATAAAGAGTAAAAAAAATATCTTTTGCAAATGAGAAAAGGGACCAAGAGATGGAGAGAGAGGAAGAGGTTTGACGAGGGGGAAGAAATTGTAACAAGTCTTAAGATGTGTGAGGTACATCCACCAACTCTTTATAGTGAATATCACTATTTACTGAAAACAATTTAGTCTTTTACTTAAAAAACAGACACTTCTCAAAAAGCCTGGGCCCAGGCTTTCCATTCTGCTTTTGCAAGAGATGTCGTACTGGACAGATACAGATAAGGATATGGAGATAGAGATACACACATAGCAGTAGATAAAGAGATCCAGATGTAGATCTGAGACGAGGGTCACTAGCATGGAAGAGTTGCAGACCACTGTGAACACATGGTCTCCATTCCAGCTGGTCCTCCCAAAGGTTAATCCCAGCACCGCACAGCCACCCTTATCACGGGATTTTAAATCATGCCTATCCTCAGATTCTTCCCAACCTCCGAGTAGCAATAAATTGTGATACTGCGTTAAACAATAGCTCATTTTACAATGAAATACTATTAGACCTTTAAAAGCCCAGGTAAGGCTTTAGGTCTGTGCTGCGTGTACTATGAAGTGAACAAAGGCTTCAAAGCTGGGAAGAAAAGAAAATTCTAACTGGTGAGTATGTGAAGGTGAGGGACAAGTGATTGGATTAAACATAGAAATGAGTTTCAAAGGGAATGAATGTGTACCAACATGTTACAATTTTATATTTTTTCCCTGGGGAGGAGAGCATAGAAAAAATATTCTACATTTTTCTATATTCTGTCCTTCTCTAATCTGTCATACTTTCATTCAAAAGTAGATTAGCTTTGAAATCAGAGTACTTACATGCCTATTTTTGGAAACTCACTTCCTGACAAGTTCTGGCCTTGCCTTTGGGGGTTCATTCTTCCTTCATACCCCTCTCGGACTCCCAGCCTCAGTCGGTCCCCCTCATGCTGTGTTCAGAGTCCCTGCCTTTGTCCCTGTTGTCCCTCTGCCTGGATCGCCTTCCTCATTCCATAACCTGCTGCCTGCTCTTCAAGGGCAGCCCAGTTTATACTCAAGGTCTCCTCGAAATCTTCCCCCATGCCCAGTCTACTCCAGCTTCTTCTTTTCTCAGCTTTTTAAATGCCTTGCAAGCCTCAGTGTATCTAAGAACCCAGTGAAGAGATTGCAAATAGTCCTATTATCCCATCTCCCGATATTCTGAATCAGGAGGACTGGGGTAAGATTCCAAAGTCTGCATGTTGCAAACAACATTTCCCAGCAAAGTTGAGGCTGTAGGTTGCAGGTCATTCTTCTAGTGGTGTCTTGGTTATTTTTCTCTCACTGCTGAGACAAAATACATGACACCCAAAGTTAAAAGGGGAAGTGTTTATTTAGCTCACAGTTTGCCCATTATTGGTTGGCTCCAAGGCCAAGTGGCTCATGGAAGTGGGCGATCAGTTCATGGCAACAGAAGACAGCAAAAGCAAGGAGAGCAAAAGGGGAGACAAGCCTCTTTCTGTCCCTTACATTGTACCCAGTCTATCAGGATTAGGACAGTGCCAACCTAATCTATGGACTGAGCCAGCAATCACCCACCTTAACCCCAGCACCCTTAATCCCAGTGTGGCACACTGTAGAGTCAGCCATCTCTTAAAAAGTCCTGTGACTACATGAGGCTTTTGGGGGACATCTAAACAAAAGCCATAACAAGAGATCTAGAACTCTGCAACTTGGGGCATGTATTTTGTTGCTTCATGGATTTTCTAAAAAGACATGTATGTTTCATGAGATTGTTGGCTCCTTGACAGTAGGAATGATGTTTGACAGTTTTCTGTCTGTTTTGTAGCTCAAAAGTCAAGAATTCAAAGGAAAGGTGTTAACTGAAGCTGACAAGTTTGTACATTTCCTTGGGTGTTTAGACAGGTGGAAAAATTATGTAAGGGTTTGGAACAGTCTCTCCCGCTAATCCAGCTCCAGAAAACTTTTTGGCTCTGACTGAAGGTGAATGTCCCTGGAACCCAGGATGTGACTAGTGACTTTATGTAGCTTGAGGAACAATGAACGCTCCTGCTTCCGGAGGACAATCCTTTATGGGGTCATTGATGTCCTGAAAACAATTTTATAGTGACTTTCCTTTCTTTGGTTTCTACACCATCCCCTAAATTGGTGGACTGAGGTTGGATAATGCAACCCAAAAAGAGCCGTTGGAATCTAGATGAGGTTGCTAAGTGGGAAATGCAAGGCTGCATTTGATTGCTAGCTTTATTTCTTTCTTTATTAATTAATTTATTTATTTTGGCCTTTTTGAGACAGGGTCTCTATGCAGTTCAGGCTGGCCTTGAGCTCACTTTGTAGCTCAGGCTGGTCTCAAACACACAGTGATCCTCCTTCCCCGGCCTCCCTGCTGGGGTTACAGGTGAGCACTCATCTGGCTTTGTCTTTAAAAGGAGCAGTGGGATATACGAATGCAGCCAGCCCCTGCAGAAAGGTTGGCCCTGCTAAGTGTGAGGAGGGCTGCACTCAGCTGGTTGCCCAGAGGCTGGCCTGGTGGCCATGGCTCTGGGGCCACCAAAAGCAACAGAAGTCATATCCAATCCATGCTGCTACTCTGCACCTACTAAGACCAACTTTCTCCTGCCAGGAGTGCAAGTCCCCAGTTTTCTTTGTGACAGTAGGTAATGGGAAGGATCCCATCCACTCATCTCTGTGGAAGCACACCTGGAACGCTGGCAAACTTGAGTCCTTGACTCTCTTGGTTGGATCTTCCATTCTTCTCATTGGTTCCTGTTTTGTTTTGTTTTTTAAACAAGGTTTCACTATGTCAAGGCCGTCCTTGAATTCGAGACAATCCTCCTTCCTCAGCCTCTCAAGTGCTGCGATTATAGATGTGCACCACCACGCTTGACTCCCCTTCGGTTCTGAGAATATAGGAGGTATCGTCAAAGTTTGTCTGTGTATTTGTACCTTGTAACTCTGCATTACTGCGCAAAGATCTCACTGGGAGGAAAAAGAATGAAGTTGAAACTTGACATAGTCCTTCATCCCAGAGAGAGCTGGTTCTCTACCTTGTCCTGGGAAAATATGGACAAGAGTGATCCCCGAATATGGCACTCATGGGAACCTTTCAGGGAACCAGCGTTGGCCGATAAATGGAAAACAGCCATGGAGGAATGCAGGGCAGAGCTCTGAATCACCATCTACGGGAGCACAAATATTTATGAAGCACTCAGGTCTCAGCCGGGTCTTGGGTGCTGAGGCTAGAACGGTACATGAAAGCAGATGTGATGATTGCTTATGGAGAAAGGCTATTAACCTGGTATTCACAGGCTCATGGGAAGATAAATATTAATACAGACAAAAGCATCCTGATAAGTATGTAAGTTCACTGGATGAGCAATGAAGAGGAAAGATAGTGCTAGAAGTAAATGCATGGAATAGAAATTGTCAAGGCAGAGAGAGCAGTAAGGGAAGATGTTCTAGAAGGTCTCACTATTGAGCTGAAGGCTGAGGGTAAATGAGGGCTGCCAGAATAAAAGTTCTAGACAGAAACATGTGCAAAGGGACTGTGACAGGAATGAGTGTGACAGTTCATGGCACTGGAAAAGGCCCTGGTGGTCAAAGCAGATGGGGAACCAGGGTTCATGATGCTACTAGAAGAAAGAAAGAAGCAGACTGTGCATGGGTCTCATGAATGACATCAGGAATTCATATAGGCACTAGGAAGCTCAACCTAGTCTGTTTTGAAAGAATTGCTCACTATTGTAGGA